AACCGGAGACTCGCTTTACTCGCTATTTATCAAAACTGAAAAAAAAAATTTTACTTTCGAAAATTGAATTACCTCTTTCTCGCGTAATGCTTGGGTTGCGATGGGGAATTTGTATGCTTTTGAAGTAAACACCAAACTTGATGCCTGGTAGCGTCTGGACGCCGGTTTTCTAAAGAAACGTTTCATATTTTTTTGTCTAATAGCCAATTTGTACTTAGAGAAAAGTATTGGCGACATGGAGAAAATGCATGTCGCCTGGGGTCGACCCATAAACATCGATGGTAATTAAACATCTCTCTTTTGCACTCTATGCTACCTCGAGACCTCGACCCCAATAAAAACTATAAAGTTAAATTAAAGGTTTGACTAAAATTCCTGTCTTTGTTACAAATAAGTTTTCTTATGACAAAATTCCCTTCATAACCTATTTGCTGTACTAATGTAATGAACTAATCTCGAAATTGAAAAGTCGAAATATGGCTAAAATGGCAGCCCCATGTGATTGATCCGTATCATAAATATATCAGATTTTAATATTTTATTGCTAGGGGGGTCGGTGGCCGGTTGCGTTGATATGGCGCTCATCGCTGTAAGGTAAAGGTCCCGGGTTCGAATCCAGCGGTCCCCCATTCGAACCTGACATACTGAAAAATGGGCTTTTTCAAACCACCGACACCCCAGAGTTCATTACAACTTCATAGTCTTAATACCCTGGTTAAAAAAATATATTTTATTATTTATTTTAATCAATGAATATAAGAACAAATTTATGACCAAAACACGAAGGAAAGTCACAAAAATGAAGCGTCAATTTTATACAAAAAAATTAACTTTAACGGAAAATACAAACGTTGTAAAGCACAGATTTGTTGTAATTTATGAAATAAAAGTAATAATTTCATTATCAGAATGACCAACCATGTTATATGTTATTTTATATATTTAATTATAAATATTGAGTAAACCGATGTAATGATCAATGAAGGCAAAATACTTTAAAGAAAACAAAATTCCTCTCTTTTCGATACAAATTCCGGAAACATGACTGCTTTAGCCATGACAAGATTAAAGATTTAGTTTTTTATTTAAATATACTATTAATAAAAATTACATATTCAAAATATGTAATGCAAATACTGGACATGGCTTGAATTTAATTTTTCATAACTTCATCGTCTCTGTCTTTCTCTCTCTCATTTTACATTCTACCAATCTCATTTTACGTTCCTTATATTTGGTCAAAAATCTTCACGAAAAGACCAAAACATTTTTATAGAAAGTAATTTTTTTTATGTACAATTTCTAAAATAAGAGTTTGAAAACACGTGTGAACCGACTTTTATTCTTTGTCTATTCAAGTTTGAACAAGAAATACAAATTTTTTTCTTTCTTTTATTGTTCAAAAAGCGTAATTTTCTATTGTTTGAAGGACTAGAGGAGGCTCATGAATATCAAATGTAAGAAGATGTACGAGTGGGTGAGCATGTGTGTATGTGCATTTGTGTTCTCTCTCTCTCCCTCTCTCTCTCTCTCTCTCTCTCTCTCAACACACGAACTCTCTATCTATCTATCTATCTATCAATCAATTAATTTATTTATCTCTTTCCTTCGCTCATAAACTCTATCTGTCTTTTATCCACACAATCTCCCTCTCCCTTTTTTTTACCTCTCACTCATTCTCTCGTTAGATGTAAGAGTTGTCCTTGAGAACAAATCTTGCGTGATCAATAAATAAATCGTTCATTCATTCCTTCATGTTCACCTATGTACGTTTTGTCTCTTTCTCTCTATCTCTGTCTCTTATCCAATCACTTTTTCTATATCTTTCGTTTCTTTTTTTTCTCTCTCTACCTCTATTTATCTAACTATCTATTTCTATTCTTTCCCTCGTTTATTGTCCCTCTATCTCTGTCTTTTATCCATTCATTCACCCTCTCTCATTTTTCTACCTCTCTCTAACTCTCTACCTCTATTTATCTACCTATCCATTTCTATTCTTTCCCTTGTTTATTGTCCCTCTATCTCTGTCTTTTATCCATTCACTCACCCTCTCTCATTTGTCTACCTCTCTCTAACTCTCTACCTCTATTTATCTACCTATCCATTTCTATTCTTTCCCTTGTTTATTGTCCCTCTATCTCTGTCTTTTATCCATTCACTCACCCTCTCTCATTTGTCTACCTCTCTCTAACTCTCTACCTCTTTTTATCTATCTAGCTATCTATCTACCTTTTCGTCTTTCCACACTCATTAACCGTCTATTTTTATATCTTATAACACATCACTCTCTATCTCTGTTCTTCCGTCTTCTCACCCTCTCTCATCTTACTATTTATCAATCCTATAGCCTCTGTACATCCGAATTCCTGTTCTCTCTGTTATCCTGTTTTCTCATTCCCTCACTATCTCTTATCTATTATCTCTCTCACTCCCTCTCTCTCTCTCTCCCTCTCTCTCTCTCTCTCTCTCTCTCTCTCTCTCTCTCTCCATCTTTATCTCAATCTCTAACAATCTCTCTCTCTCTCTCTCTCTCCATCTTTATCTCAATCTCTAACAATCTCTCTCTCTCTCTCTCTCTCTCTCTCTCTCTCTCTCTCTCTCCGTCTTTATCTCAATCTCTAACAATCTCTCTCTCTCTCTCTCTCTCTCTCTCTCTCTCTCCTCTATTTATTTATCTATCCGTTTCTATTTAACTACATTTTTTCTTCCCTCGTTAATTATCCCTCTATCTCTCTCTTATCCAAAAACATTTTTCTAGGTCTTTAATTTCTTCTCCCTTTCCCCCCCCTCTATCTCTCTATTTATCTATCTATCCAGTTGTATCTGCCTACCTTTTTTCCTTCTCTCGTTCATTAACCATCCATTTATGTGTTTTATCCACTCATTCCCCTCTATCTTTTTTCTACTTCTCTTTTACTCTTTATCTATCCTATAGTCTCTATATCTGGCAATCTACCTGTTCTCTCATTCCCTCTATCAATATCTCTTATCTAGTCTCGCTCTCACTCTTTCTCCTCTCTCCCTCTCTCTCTCTCTCTCTCTCTCTCTCTCTCTCTCTCTCTCTCTCTCTCTCTCTCTCTGTCTGTCTCACTCTCTATCTCAATCTCTAACAATGTAAATGGTGTTCGTTTAAATTCGATAAAGATTAATTAAATCAATTTAAGTTAGATAAATTTAAAAGACGGAATTGGAACACGTCGTCATGAAAGTGCAAGTAACTTATACGAACATTTTAAACCAATTTTACCAATTCAATCAGTCCATTAAGATTTTTCTTCAAATTTGTACAATGGGTATTTGAGTACCTACCATTATTATTTAACGCACATACATAATTCTACATTACAGTAAATCACTTGGGTTGTTGTTGACATAATAGAAAAATTGAAATCCTAAGTTTCAACCGTATAAGTGAGAATTGCACTTTAGAGTCACGTGTCCTCAAGTTGACCACTATTCCATTATGTTTTGGAAGTGAAAAATACAAATCAGTAGTGACATATATACATAATTAACAAGATGATAAAGTAGCATTCTTTTCAAACAATTTTATCCCAACAATGTTTTAACTAGAACGTGTCAGTACATGAATCAATGTTTTTTTTTTAATGTTCTACTGTACAACTGTACGTTCTCGAGGCCACTTTTTGTAAATCATGGTTCTACCTTTTGTTTTATTATTTTAGTACATTCTTTAACAGCGATATTTGTAATTAAGTGATTAAGATTATCTATTCTATGTTGAATTGTTAATAACGAAAGTAGGTTCGAAATTTTGGGTTGGTATTAATTATGTGATCTATTGTTATCGCGTGTTTGTGGCATGGGGAATTATAAAGGACCCTAGAGGTCTTATTAGCTTGTTTTATTTGCGAATTTTGACCTTACCGTGTTACATTGGGGGTTTCGGGTTCACTGGTATAAGTTTTTTAACCGCACATTGGTAATTTGAGAATTGAATGTCAGTATTTCCTATAGCTGTTTGAAGTCTAGTTTTTAATTTTAATTTGGGGTCTTTATGTATTTCATTACAATCGTTGTTGTTTAGGAATTCTTCAACTTTTGAAATGTATTTTTGGTGTCAATGATAACTATACTATTTCCTTTATCGGCTTTTAAAACAATGTTGTTGTTACTTTGTAACTTTTTATCAATAGACCTAATTGTACGTAAGTATTAACAACAACGTCGACAGAGTTTGTAACTCCTTCAAACTGATGATGAGCGTTTAATGCTCGAAATCCGGATCGTTTTAACAGTAAATCGGTGAGTAGAACCATCATCTACAAAAAGTGAATCTACCACTCACCCCACCTTCATCATTTCTTTGTTCTTGTGGCCTGTTAACTTTTGCTGATCGTTAAGTTTTGCATAATACGGTCATGTAATAAAAAAGAAGAAATTAGTAGGCCGAAAATTACACACTGCCCAATATAGGCCAAAAAATCGTATTCTTTAAAAAATTATTAAATATATATTTTGTTCCGTATAAATTGTTTATTTTTATTATTAATTTTTGCGTTTTCTTCTTTTTATAAAATGTTTTGAGTTTAGAAAAATAAATCTTAAATTTCGTACGAGGTCACAGCGAAAACTGCTTCATGTTCAGACTGGTTTGTTGCGACATGAACATACGCACAGTCGAACCAAAACCTGTTAGGATTAGTCACATTTCAGATTATTTGTCCCTTTTGGGTTAAAAAAATTCAATTAAGTACATAGTACGTTAAAAACTTATTTCAAAAAGACGAGGAACGAGTTTAGTTTCTAAGGCTGCCCTAATGTATTACCTTATAAATGCGGCCCACCGGCATTCCGATGCTTTACACCCACACCTACCCCAAAGGCGATAAGTTGGTATAATAAAATTTAGACGTGCAGAAAATGTCGATTAACGTGAATGATTTTAAGTAGCTTGGTACAGGTGGAAATAAAAATTTGCCAGGGCTGACCGGGTAAAATTGTACGATTTTAAAATTATACAAAGGTCGTTTATTTACCTGAAACGGACCAATCTGATGTCTCCAGCATAGAAAACTCGAGCTGGAAGTGTTCGGAATCTGCCATGACGGCGACTTCTGGAGGTACGAACGGACCGGGCACAACCACTGCACTGAGGACGACTGCGAAATGATAGCGGCTTCTCCTCCCACCACGTGACCGTGCACCGGCCTTTCTTCCTCTCAACCCTTTGAGAAATGTGTAAACACGGGGGAACGTAAACATTTGGCCGTACTTTCATTTTGACGGACTTTTATTGGTAGAAATTAAACTGTTGGACTGATCTGACTGGTAAAAAATCAACGGGGAATCATCAGGTCAAACGAGGACATACAGGCAGCAACAGAGAACCTATTTTACATTAACTTTAACAACTTTGTTCCTCGTTCTTCCTTCATTATAAAATTATAAATCACATTAACAAAAAAATTTTTTTTTCAAAGTTTTACATTTTATTTTATGGAATTTATTTCATTCATTTATACAATTTTTCAATATAAATAAATTAAAAGCTTTCATAATTCTTCGAGAAAGTTAATTTCTTTTTAAATGATTTACCTGCAAGAGAATGAAACTTCAGACTTCAGTTTACACCGACTCGATACTCCACTCTCTCCCAGTCTCTCATTCTATCACTCTCTCTCTCTCTCTCTTCCTCTCTCTCACTCTCTCTCTCTCTCTCTCTCTCTCTCTCTCTCTCTCTCTCTCTCTCTCTCTCTCTCTCTCTCTCTCTCTCTCTCTCTCTTTCTATCTTATCTATCTCTACATATATTTAATTATTTCACAAGGTCTTCTAAGTTAGCTGGTTTCTTATATGTACTCCAGTTTTTGACATTTCCGCCTTTTAAGTGAGGAACTGAGGAAGAAAGGTGTGTGGGTTTGTTTGTTTGTGTGTGGTGTCTGTGTGTGTGTGTGTGTGTGTGTGTGTGTGTGTGTGTGTGTGTGTGTGTGTGTGTGTGTGTGTGTGTGTGTGTGTGTAAACAAGGGAGAGGTAGAGCAATATAGTGTAGGGATAGAAAAATGGAAAGGGTAAGTTCGAAAACTCACGAATAATCTGGATCTGTATAGTCTTTGATCTGGCGAATAAAAAAAATGGTCCATTCAGCTAACACTTAAAAAAGTAAATTCGAAAAGACAGGGAGTCTTACAAATGTAGAATAGAGAAAGAGATTGAGTGAGAGAGAGAAGAGAAAGAGATTGAGAGAGAGAAGAGAAAGAGATTGAGTGAGAGAGAGAAGAGAAAGAGAGAGTGAGAGAGAGAAGAGAAAGAGAGAGTGAGAGAGAGAAGAGAAAGAGAGAGTGAGAGAGAGAAGAGAAAGAGAGAGTGAGAGAGACATTTTTAGTATAAATAAACATAAAAATTAATGTGTGGTGTTTAGTGACCGTTAGCTAATGATTATTTGGAGATCGTGGCACTCTCAAAACGACACACAAGAATGACCAAGCTACGCAGAAACACTTTGAGCCCTGAAGATGATCTTAATAAAGATCGAAACGTTGGCACGACAAAGAAAACGTTTTTCTAAAACCTACGTCATACCAGACCGCATCTCACGATCTCCAAATAATTATAAAAATTAATAGATTCATATATAGAGAGACAAGTAGAAAAGTAAAACACGGTACTGACCCCTACAAATAATTGTACAGATAAGCACAAAATAAATAAAATGAAGAAAAACAATGCATATCTGTGCATGTATATGTGTCTGCTGTTGTATGCGCGTGCGTGCTTGTTTGCTGAAATGTATAATATTAATAATACATTATTAACGTGCGGACCAAACTAAAACAATCTATTTGTTTTTACTCACAGTTACCTTCGTTATTTCTATGAAAAATCTATTGTACATGTCAATGTAATTATTTTTCTATTTATCTACCACCACCTTCTCTCCTCTCTCTCTCTTTCTCTCTCAAAAATGTACACACTGTTTTTATAATTTATTATTTCCTAAATCTATAAAACTTTATAGTAACTCACTCAATGTTGTAAAATCATGTAAACCAAAACATATTTATAAGATCCTTCTAAAAGCTTTCATTATATTATGTTCAATCATACTTTGTACAACATCAATAATATTAAATATATATGTAGAGAGAAAAAGAAAATTATATTTGTATTATTCGCGTTTTGTATTTTCGCTCAAGTAAACTGTCTTTGAATGCTCGTTAAATGGGCCAGAAGACCTACTTTTGCTAGGTGTTTTAAATAAAATGTTCAAATCAATTCAATTCTCCCTCTCTCTCTCTCTCTCTCTCCCTCCCTCCCTCTCTCTCTCTCCCCCTCTCACTCTGTCTCTGTCTGTCTGTCTCTCTCTCTCTCTCTCACTGTCTCTCTCTCTCCCTCTCTCTCTCTCTCTCTCTCTTTGTCTCTCTCTGTCTCTGTCTGTCTGTCTCTGTCGGTCTGTTTGTCTGTCTCTGTCTGAAGCCAATATTTGAGGCTTAGAAAGTTTAAAATTTTCAACACTCAAGTTCACTTTATTACCCTACGAAAATAACGATAATTGATTGGTGTTTTATTATTACTTTGTCTCTCTTTTATTTTTCTAATAAACAGTTTGAGAAGTGATAAGATTATCACTTTATATGTGTTATCGAAGGAAAACGAAGTTTTTCTTGGGGACAATCCGTTACGATGAACCGCTCCCTAATACCAAACCGGTAGAATTTATCAATCAGAAAATCTAAAAAGGTCAATTAGATTCTCTTATTAAATAAGATAAATGCATCTATAAAAAAGATCGTTAACCTTCAGAAATCTTAAGACATTTGACGATAAGACGGATGCTTGAAAAGTTGTTGACAACGCTCAACTTCTCCCAAGATGGTTATTGGTATTAACCTAAGTCCACGTTGTAATTACTTAATTAATTCAGCCTTAGCAGGGTAGGGAAAAACTATCATCCGGAGTTGAGACTAATGAGAGAAATATGTAAATATTCGTGAGAAATTGTGAGGAATATTCATCGGGGGAAAGGATTTCGATCCAACTTGGGTCTCTGAGACGTTTCTGCAGTTCTAAATAAATAGAAAAAGTGGTTTGTCGCGTTAGAAAATTTCCAATAATTATTATACTAATTAATACCTTATAAATAATTTATAATAATTAATTTATTGTTAGTGTTATTTTATTTTCAACATAGACAAAGATTTCTTACCCACACGACTACTTTCGTTACCAGTAACAAAAATTGAACATTAGTATTAAAAATAATAGAAATAATAAAGAAACGAATAAAAATAAAATAAACCAATAAATATACAATATAAATAGAGTATAGTAATTATTTTAGAGAAAGTAAATTTAACTAATTAATACATATTATATATTCAATATGCAAAATGTAATGAACAAAATAAATCTACACATACTTCATAAACTTGTATAAAAAATGAATAAATGTGAAAAAAATAATTGAAAAAAAATGTTCTAAAAAAAGAGCACTTGTAAAAGTAGTTTTTATGGTAATGGTAAAGATTCGTAATAACAGCCCCTGATAAGAATATAAATAAAGCAATCTAAGACTCTAAGCTCATGCTTTCAAAGATAAGTTAAATTATTGAAAAGATTCTATTGACGGTTAATCATTTGTAAAATCCACTTTCTAACTGAAATTTATAAACTTTTAAAAACAGTTGAAATCTTGAATCTGGAAAACATTGGATATGAAAGCTTTTGGGAAGTTACTTTGAAAGATAACACTTTTAAAAAGTACCGATTATTTTGGTCTGCACATGCTGACTCGGTTGATATATCAGATGTTTCGGCATTAAAATGAATTTCTAACTGAAGATGAACACAAATTACCCGACACTTAGATGGCGAAACGCGTCTGATAGACCAACCCTGCGAAGAAGCTTCGACACAGAAATTTCACAATTTAATTCATCTTTTAATGAGCTTTGTAAAAAATATCTTTTAAAGAGTAAATGATTGGAAAACCTGCTTTAATGTTTTTAAATATTAATGCGTGGAAAACTTTTGTTCTATATTCGGGGATTATGAAAAATGCTTTAAAAGTTACAGTTTGGGAGGTGGAACAAAGCTCAACAAAAAGTAGCTACCAAACATTAGGCAGCATACAAAGACTAGCAAACCTATGTATCACAGGGACAATGAGAACAACCCCTACAAATAGAAACTTTGCTAAACCTACCTCCATTGGAAATATTCATACAAGGAGAGGCTAGGAAAAGCTCACTTAGGCTTCAGAAACAATTAAATTGGAAAGAACTAAGCAAATCGGGCATACAACCATAATCAACAAAATCAGACACCCATTATTAGAAATGGGGACTGATTATATGATCCCGGAAACAATCTTCACAACTTCCTATAAAGTCTAAATGGACTATAAAGGACAGGAAGAACACAGGAGAGCATCAGATACAATGATATGGTACACAGATGGCTCCAAAACAAACGAAGGAACCGGATCAGGCGTTTTCTGTACAAGCCCAAAACATGAGCAATCAAACTCATTAGGGAAGTATACTTTGGTCTTTCAAGCAGAAATACATGTCATCAATGCTTGTGCCCTGGAAAATCTTAAAAGAGGTTACACTGACAAAAAAATCCTCATAAGATCAGACAGCCAAGCAGCTCTTAAAGCATTAGCATGTAAAAGAATCACATCAAAACTAGTCAGTGAATGCGTCCAAAATCTCCAAAACCTGTGGAAACACAACAACTTGATGATATCTTGGGTGCCAGGGGAATTTTGGGTAACGACAAAGCAGACAGTCTGGCTAGAGGTGGATCTGCAAGACCATACATAGACCCCGAACCTATACTTGGGATAACAAAAACAAATATAAAATCCTCCATCGCAGAATGGTTCCAAACAAAACAAAAGGAGAAGTGGATAAACTCTAGCAGTGCTAGACATAGTAAACTTATGATGAAACAACCCTCACCGAGACTGGCAAAAACACTGCTGCAATTGGAGAGGGCCAAACTCAGAGGAGTGTTAGGACTACTAACCGGTCACTGGTATCTGAGAAAACATCTACACAACATGGGTATATACCACGATGATCCCATTTGCAGATTATGTAATGAGGAGGAAGAAACAGCCACTCATATGATCTTCGAATGCGGAGCAACAGCTCCATGGAGATTTAACCTAACGTACGGAAAAAACTTAGGGAATCAAATTGCAGCAGCGACAGTCAATGACCTGATACTTCTAAGAAGAAGGATTGAGTCTATTGCACTGAACTAAGATACTAGG